TATAGAAATTAAGAGAAATTTTTAATAATTGAAGAATAAAACTGTAAAAGGACTTTAGATCACCCTGTTTATATTGTATTTATTTTCTGTAGCATTGACATGGATATTTCTTAAGTAAAAAGGTCATTACTTATAATACTTCGTGAAAGCTTCTAATGAAATTATATTAGAAATTTTTAAAATACTGGTCGATACAAGTTTTTAAGTGATATGACAAAAATCGCCCGAGTTGACATGCTATATTTATTCGATTAAATAAAATAACTATGTGTTCCTATAAAAGCATAAACTATCAACAATATTTGGGTGATATATGAATTACTTTTATTATTTTTCTTTTAACTGAATAAAGTTTTTAAAATGTATATAATTATAATAACTTTTGTAAGATTAAATAAAACAATTCAATTAATAAATAATTTCAAGGAATTATCAGTAATTTATTTTATTAGTACAAAACCATAAATATTTCAATTGCTATTAAGTTATACATGGTATTTATTAGTATTTGTTTCGAAGTATTCACTTTTTTTGATGAATGCTTCAGGAAGTTAGGAAACGTGGTTGACAAAAAACTCGTTGAATCGACATTATCAACACAGGGCACTGGACACCTCGAAGTTTTTAGGGAAACTGTTATCAGGGGTCAGCTCTAGATGTGCATCTGTTGTAATTAACCTGAAAAATGAAGAGAACTTTGCATAAAAATCTGTAAAAGAAGGACGCAACCGAACACTTAGAGTATGTTAGATTAAAATTTTATAGGTTATAATTGTTTATGCTCTCTGGCAATTGAGTTATAATTTTCTAAATATCTTATTATACTACATATATAAATAAGAAGAAACTAGATTTTACATTATTAATATAGGCTTATATAGTAGTTGTAATACCATTTCGATAAGAGCGCATCTTTCTACGTATGTAAGAAAAAACGTTTATTTAAGAACAATAAAAATAGTTAATACCTTAAGTTATAATACCAAGAAAATTGAAACATTGATATAAAAGTTAAGCATTTTAACGTGTAATGTTTAAATTTAGTAATCAACAAATAAAGATTTCCTTGAGCTAGAAATAATAAAAAGTCTGTTAAACGTATGGCAAACAGAGCAATTAATAGTTTTGATAAATGGATTTACCTGTTTAAATATAAATAAATTTTTTATTCAACATATGAAATATATATCTCATTTATTTAACCAGTTCTTAATGTGAACTGAATTTTCTTACTGTAAAATGTATTCGTAATATTCTATTTTTAATAATTGTTTCACAAAAAATTTTTGTTTATTTTTTAATTTCTAGTTTTTTTTAATTCTATGTAAATAAAAAAAAGAATAGAGTAAATATCACTTTAGAAATGTAGGAAATAAACTTACAAAACGTTGTATCTAAGTAAATTGCAGAATTTGGCAAAAAATTTAATTATTAAAAAATGTTTTTTTTCTTCTTCTACCTCATCAACATTTTCTAGTGCTACTGGATGGAGTAATTATCTGAAAATGCATATCTGCCCGGAAAAACGTTCACAAGCTCTATACAAGCTCTATATTGTTAAATTGACTAAAAAATATACGTACAATAAGTACAGTACAAACAAAATGATTAATTTTCTTTGGTTTTTCTTTCTGTTTTATTTTTAAACATGAAGTTACCTTTAATTTAACAATAAACTGAATTTATGACTATTGTTTCAGTTATAGTTTGATATTATTTTTATTTATTTATTTATTTTTACAGATCTTAAATGTCCTAATTATACAAATTTCGACTTATTAAAAAATTTACGTAAAAGAAAATTACAATTTTACTTTTGTATAATTTTGGAAAGAACGTTTCATTTAATTTTTGCAAAAAAATAAAAATTAAATTATAATTAATTTTATTTTAACATTTATCTAAAGCATGGGGGCAAATGGAAGTTCTATACTCGGAAATGAGTTGGTAAAACCTACTCACTTTGTCATCATTGGATGGTTGGATGGCTATTTGATAAATTGTTGTCCGAATTGCAAGATTCTTCCTGACGTCAAGACCTGACACCAGTTAGGATATTTAAAAGGTCGCATCCTAACTCGCGAATCGTAAACAAAGGTTGAGTAGGAGGGTTGATTTGACTGTTGAGTGGGGAGCGCAATGTGTTAGTCGGAATTCCGAGAAAAACAGTTAGGCAGGTTAAAGAGTAACAAAAGTTTAATATATATTCATCCTAGATTACAAGATATTACAAAACACACAACTAACTAATACTCGTAAGCCTGCCGCTTGCGAGGTTTTAGGGAAATCGTTTCTGTTCTATGTTTAAGGAGATAGAGTTCACAAGTATTCTGACAAATTACCAAATATCTCTGCAGAAGTGACATTGTCCTCTATTGCTGGTGAGGTGTATATTACACGACCCAGAATATTGGGCATTTCCGCCTGGATAATGGCAAGTTTAGCCATTGTCTTCAAAGATAATAGCGAGGCTGAAGCCTTGGACGGAGACCACTCTAAATTATGGCGAGATGGGAGAATGGGTTTTATAGTGAAGCCCGCCGGTGTTCGCGTTGAGCTCCATTTATCCTCCTTAGGCCAGGGATATTATTTATTATATTATTTATTTATATTTATTATTAACAACTTATAAACATCCGATCACCTGATCATTTTGATCAGGTGATCGGATGTTTGGAGACTAAGTTGCAGGTGTGAGGTCATAGGTGAGCCGTTGATGACGTTAAGATGTCGTTTAAATAGAGTTGTTAATATTTGATTTGGACCAGTTAACTTCATTCTTTTTACTCATTCAAAGGTTGACTTCCCCTCTTTTAACAATACATTGTTATAATACAGTTGTTGATAACAAGGGTGACATTCAATCCTTTTTCTGTACTATGCTTTCTTAACGATTGCATGAAAAAAATGTTAAAAATTTCCTTAAGTAGAGCAAAATCAGGTTCTCGATATCTCAATTTTTTTTCACAAAATTACATTCGCCTAGTTCAAAAGATGGAATTTTATCATGATTTCAACATGTCTTGTGTGAAAAACACCTTTCTAAAAATTTCTCTTACACTCTTGATAAACAAACAAACCAACAAAAAAGCTGGAAAGACTACTGCTTGACTTTCTGAATGCTCAAACAAAAGGATAAAAAAAAATAGAATAATTTCTAATAATAATGGCTTAAACGTTCATATATACGATTAAAATTTTAAGTCACATGATTTTTTAATTTACAATAAATTGTTAGTAGTACTGATTCGATACATTTGGGGTATATCTTATTTTCAGCATAGGAATTTTTAAAAAATTAAATAATTTCAAATTTATTTAATTTTATCTGTTTTAACTTTGAATTTATTTTAACCCAGGAAAATTTGAAATAGTTTTTAATTTTCATCATTTTTTCCTTTGAATATATTTATTTAACTCAAAAAAATTGAAGGTATATTTTCTAAATTTAACCCAAGAAAAATTGTGGATGTATATTTTAAAGATTTTTATTCTTCTTCTAATTTATTTAATTTTTCTATTACATTATCGAGAAAGTTAGATAAATCGACCCCCCTATAACACTGTTGATAATTCCGTTTTATATGAATTCCATGTTATACGAGTCACTTAGATTTTACAAATACGCGAGCCCTTCACAGCCCGGCACACATATTTGTAAAATCTAAGTGACTCGTATAACATGGAATTCACATAAAACGGAATTATCAACAGTGTTATAGGGGGGTCGACTGGTATTTATCATCTCATTTCTTTCAAATTATAGTAAAATGGTTTAAGTGAAAATTGTGGAAATAGTGAATATATATATGTTATGGATCAAGTAATAATTAATATATATGTTATGGATCAATGTAATTCATCTGCATTATTTATAATGCCCTTATGATGACATTTGGAATTACTTAAACGGTAGAATTTTTTTAATTGTAGTATTTGCATCTATTAAATTTGCAACCAATTTTGCAGCAGCATCGACTATAGCCTTGGCCTCCAGAAATTGCTGACATTTTTCACATTATCTAAACGAAATTTTTGCGCCCAGAAACATCTCCAAAAAAACAAAGTTTTCTTTAAAAACAGTAAATTGGTTTCTGGAATATAATTAATTTAATATGCTATATTTGATACCCAGTTTGTAAAGATTTTTATCTTCGACCGCAACAACGACACCGAAATAGTTTTTCCATCACTGCGGGCTCGATCTATATCTGGTACACGAGTTTTTACTGTATCATCAACATTATTATCATAATGTATTATCAACATCATCATAGAAAATTTGGAATTCAAAGTATCAATCATTTCTTCTGCATGCTTTTTTAAAATTAGAGAAAGCCATTTCTCTTGTTTTAAATACATTTATTTATTTTTTTCTATTTTTGGATCAACTGTTTACATTTTTTCTTTCTTATTCGCCGACTCTGTAACATTAATAACATCCTAGTTTTTGGAAATCAGCATAGTTATATATTTTTCATGTGAAGACGATGAAAATCTTTGAACTTCATCAGTTATATTGTTATGTGAGAGTGCCATATAATGCCACTCTCACATAACAATATAACTGATGGCAAATAATCTTTTATAATGTTTTCTAGGACGGTACCTGATTTATCAGAGTTTGCGCAATTTTAGCTTACTTCGTCGTTAGTTTTAAAAAAAGTCTCTAAATCTTCCTCCTTATTAACGTTGATCAACGTTAATAAGTAGGAAGATCTAGAGACTTTTTTTTAAAACTAACGACGAAGTAAGCCAAAGTTGCGCAAACTCTGAAAGTAAAGAGGAAGATTATACCCAACGGTATAATCTTACTCCTTAGGTATAAAATTCTTTAGTCCAACGTTTAACTTTGTTTCAAACATGGCCTCATAGGAACGGCAGTTTATACCAGTATGATGCACATCAATTTTTCAGAAGTTGTACAAAACGTAATCCTTCTGACAATTTGTTAGTGTTGTTAGACACTAACAAATTGTCGGACACTAACAAGAACTAACCATATTTTCTACGTCTTGATTACATCTTTCTTCTGAATCCTGATTTTGAGTGACTGGGTTTTCCATGCACCATTTTTAACTCAGCCCACACACTACACATTTCTTTCATGAAATTATTGGCTAATTGTTTTCCTTTATCGGTTTGTAGAATACTTGGTGCACCGAAAATTGTAAAAATGTCTAAAAAACATACGCTACATCTTCAGCTCTTTAAAACAGCACGTTAATTCTGTACAAATAATGATTAAAATTATTAAATATTAAGTATTAAAGCATTAAAAAATGTAAATACAGAAACGAGCTGAGTAATTATGAGGGTAGAGATAAGTTTCTGAAAATACTATAATTTTCAGTAAGGATTAAAATTTTCATTAAATCTGACTTTATCCGAGATATGACACAAACCCTCTTCTACAGCCAAGATGTCTATCTGCAAACACGAAAATTGAATAGCATCAATGCCTGTTATATTAATAGAAGTTTCCACGACGAATTTGGTTTATTTACTTTATTTCATTTTAAGGTATTATTATTTATTTTTAACTTTTTCTGACCTTTGGGCATTAATAGGGTTTCTTTTACTAAGCCCATTACGGATTCGATCCGCTCCACAATGGGGCAGCCGGATGGTGATGGACGGGACCCTACATATTCGGACAGACCATTCCTGAAAAATTCCTTGAAATATTTCGACCTGTCCTGGTTCGATCCCTGGTCCCACAGAGCAGTAGGCTGCTAACTAGTCCGCTGTGTCATCCGTCTATCGAAGTTATTACAGAAATAGATGCCAACAAACAAACACACATCCACGAAATATTTTCCCAGTTTTTCACTTTTCTAGATTCAGGAGTCTCAAAATGTCCAGATTTTCTAAACACTCGGAAAATCAAATTTGACACGATTCTAATACATTTTCGTGTTATATACATAAGTCAGAAAAGTGTAAAAAACAAATTGGCTGTGAATAAAATAAAACTCCAAAATGCCTTTTTTTATCCATTTCCTTTTTAAATTGTGTAATCCTTTTCACATTTATTTATATTTTGCTTTATTTATTACGGCAAGACCTTAACCGCCTTTCAAGAGCAGTTTTCACCGAGTCTTTTCTGAGTCATTCAAGTGTATCTAGAGTGGTATTAAGTAATTTCACCACATCCAAACGAATAATTGACATTATGAGAGCAACGACATCAAAGAAAATTAATTCAATAATTTATATTAATCCGCTTAATTTTTCATCATCTCAAACAAATAATTTTTTCAGAACGTGTTAGCATTTAAATTTAATTGTTTTTTTCGTTTTCTTTTACGTAAAAAGAACGTTGTTAGAGAGTTTAATTGAAATCGATTTAATTAAGATTATCGTACAGTAAATGACACTAAGGTAATTAATTGTAATTGAGGCACGAAGAAAATCTTAAAATAACACGAATATCTCTCATTAAAATGTTCAGAAGAGCATTTAGTAAAGAATTTTTCAAGGAATTTATTATAATTTAAAGTGAAAAAAATATACATATAATTATTTAGTTTAATTAAAAACACGAATAGAATCGTATTAACATTTTTAACAGATTTATTTTTCATTCTATATATATTTTTTATGCTGGAAATAAAATAAAAAATGACTTTTTTGCAATATAACATTGCTGTAGAGATCAAGAGAAACCCCCTTCTAGCTTCCCTGTGATAGGGTGTTCAACACTCATACAATGGATCATAATTATAATAAAGTTTTTAATTTAATACATTTAAATACAATCATTTTTCATAATCATTAATAAAGATTTAAGCATAATAAACTTTAATAATTAAACGATGAGGCGAAATTTACTACTAAAAAGAAATATATTACTAGAATAATGATAAACATTTTGTTTCTTCTTAATTTTTAAACACAAGGCCATAAAATTCTTATTTAGAATTTAATGATATAGGTTTAAACATATATTTAACGTTAACTAGATTAAATAATTTTACTATTTACTTAATTACGATAATAAATATCCCGAAAACTATGCTCTACGATGAAATATACATTTATAAACTAACCAGAAAGCCTCATTATTGTATGAAATCTTCTATATATAAACATGTGTTTGTAATATAAATGAAACAAAAATTTGATGCTTAATAACTCCTGTGTGTTTTGTCGAAAATTTCTGAAATTTTGCAGGGAGGCTTGTGTATTAGGGGGATTTATGTTATTAAATTTTGGTGGTTAAAGGTTGAGGGGTTGGAAAAATAGAGGGGTCACGTGTCATATCTCGAGTGGAGTCGGACTTAATAAAGATTTTATTTATTATAAGCATTTATAATTTTTTTAATGAAAAAAATTCATCTCTATCCTTAAAATTAAGCTTTTTTTCTATTTTATAGTAATTAACATATACAATTTTAACGATTTTGCCGGAAAAGTCACGTAACTCCATGCTGTATTTTTATATAAAAAACGTGTTTTTTGTAAAGAAAAAACGTGTATCTTATTGAAAAATTAGTAAGATTGAGATTAAATAATGTGTATAAAATCCCAACAGTCTGATTCTCGCAGATGGTTTAGAATGATAAACAATTGTTTAGGCACCAAAAGACGGTATAGAAATTATTATTGTTAATTTAAAAATACAGTTTACAGAAGACGATTTTAATATATTTCTAATTTATGACAGCTTAAAAAACTTTTAGAAAGCAATTAAAATTTTAAGAATCAGTAGACAGATATTTACTATAAAAAGTTGATGCGGATGCTGAGTATAAAGCATCCATATTGAATGCTAAATAAAACAGTGTTTTAATAGTTCTTAGGCTAAATATAAATAATTTTGGCATCTAAATTACTAATTTAAATTGAAAAATTAACATTGCTCAAAAAATAATATTGCTTTCTAATGCCTTTTCTAATATGTTTCGTATTGCTGCTTATGATAAAAATTTCTATAAGTTTTTAAAATAATTTTAACATTCCCTATAGAATTTAAAATTTTCTAGTGAAATTATCTTTATAAATAATAAATCAGTGAACAGATCATTAACTATTTAACTGCAAGCAAATAAGTAGCCTACAAGCTTGCTTAATAAGTCGATCTAAAATATATTTGAAATAAGCTTGGATATTANATTAATTACAAAAATGAATAATTTCTTTGTATCTAAAATGCCATAATAGCATTCAAAAATTAATGTTATGCAAGAGGAATTCTTCTGCATACTATTCTAAAGTAATTATTTTAACTTCAATGTTTATATCCGTAACCTTGTAGATAAATTTCTGGTCTATAAGTAATAAGAATAATGTAAAGAATGATCTAGTTGCCAAGTTCATTCTTTCGAAAGTAAAATTTCTATTTTAATAATAAAATCTATTGGAATACGCATTTCTAACATTTCAAAAGTGTCAAAGAAAAATTCATTTGGTACAGAAATTAAAATATATTTTCAATTTTTGAAATTTGGCATTTTCTTTTCTACTTTAAAGTTTGTATAAATGATATTAATTCAATAATGTGACGTACAAAAGTGTAATAAAGTAATTCAACTTATCTATTGAATTTCGATTGCTACGTTCCCAATTACATCAACAATTTCATAAATGTAACTTTGTGTTTATATTACAGAAAAATAAAAATGGTAAATTTCAAGAATTGAAAGCACTTGTTTTGTTATTAAATAACAGGAGTCAATATCAATATTGGTAAATATGTCTACTATCTTAGATATTGAACAAATGTTTTCATAGTAGACAAACGGTTTGGTAGTTGGAAAGTTAATCTCCAATCTATTTTCTGATTGAGATTTCTTTCTGGAAAAGCAGCTGCAATTTTAGTTTCTTCGACAAACTAAACCAGTCGTCATTCGTATAAACATTGATTTATAGTGAGTTATATCCTTGAAAGCAGTCACAGTTATAGAACATAAGAGACTTTCTTCGTGATGTCTCAATCAACGCAATTATATCCTACAGATTCTTGTTTACTTTTGTTGATTCAACCGATTTTATCCGCTGGAGAAGTTTTCGGATTGGATTTCTGTAAACCCTGCAAATGTCGAAAGCCAAAGGTTGAAGGAACTACACTATTCACAATTTACTTGAGCATCATTGAGTGTCTTTTTTGGTTTGTGGTATTAGTACTTATACTGATGGTAATTACTGAAAATGTTATTTGCTCGGAAACATTCGTCATTTTCGAAAAAGAAGCATTTTATGCCAAAATAGTTTTTCTGGGTCTTGCTGTTTATGTTGCTCTTCAGTTTAGCATTCTGAGCAGAAGAAAAATGTCTGTCCATTATTTGAAGAGCAAATACGACAGTGAAAAAGATTTTGTCCACAAAGGCGAAAGATATGTTTTCATTTTCTTCACAGTTTTTTCATTTTTTCTTGTGTCACTTTTAGTAATATTTTCATTTGCCAGTTACTTTTCCATAGCCAAGGTTATACGTGATGATAAAACAGTGTTATTCTGTACAATAGTCATTCAGATATGGCTTATTTATACGTTTTCAAACATGTGCTACGTGTTACTGGTAATCTCATTCGTTGCGCTAATAATTGCAAAACGATTTATAGAAATCTCCAAAGAGTTAAAAAGTGCAAACGAAGCAACCAGATTGTTTCTACAAAATCTCATGGAGAAACTCTTGGAATTGTGGGAACTTATTCAAGATGTAAACGAAAAATGGGGTACACTTACTCCCGTAACATATATACACTATGTGTACGAATCTAGTTTTTTCTTATATGGAGCTCTTTTCGCCAAGATAAATATAATTTTACGTTTAGTTATATCTGTGTTTGCATTGATTCTTTTAATTGGATCATTTATAGTTTCTCGGGCACTTTCGTCATTTACATCGATTGTAAGTATTAAGTAAGATTAAATAAATTTTACTTAAAACATTGATTAAATTTTAAAATTTTAAAAATTTCTTTCAGCTGTATGATAATTTCATTTCAATTGGGAAATTCCACTCACAGCCACTCTCCTTGGAGTATAAATTCAAAGTATTATATTTTTTAAATTCAATTATTTTGATTAATTATTATTTAATTTAAATAATTCATTTCAGAT